ATATTTTGATATGTTGTGTCATAATTTTTACTCACTTATATGTATTATTAAGGTTCTTTTGAGACTTTCTTTTTGACCTCAGGATTTTTAAAAATGTGTTGCTTCATTTCTATTATTTGGAAACATTTCTTTTATCTTTTGGTTATAATTTTAGTTTCATATAGTCAGAAAATATATTCCATATCATTTTTTTTTAATTTTAAGGTTTATTTCATAGCTCAGGATATAGTTTATCTTGGTGAATGCTCCTTGAGTGCTTGAAAAACACCCATTCTGCTCTTGTTAGGTGAATTGTTCTGTCCATCTTAATTAAGTCCTGTTGCTCAAATGTGTTCAGTTTGTCCACCTCTTTTCTGATTTTCTATCTGGTAGTTCTGTCAGCTGCTGAGAGTGATATGTTGAAGTCTCCAATCATTGGTTACAAATTCTCTTTTCCCCTCAGAAATTTTATTTCCACTTAGGGTTCTCTACACTCTCACTTTTAAAATATGATTTTAAGAAGTATTTTCTCTATATACATTGAACAATATATCAAAAGGTGTTATTATTATTATCTCAAACATCAAATATAATTTATAAACCTAATCACAAGAAGGGACAGTATATTATATTTACCCCTATCCATTTCACTGCTCTTCTATTCTTTTGGAAGTTCTAAGCCTTCTTCCATTATCATTTCCTTTTTTCTCTAGAGAACTTTCTTTGACTACTTTGTGTGTATATGTGTGTGTGTGTGTGTGTGTGTGTGTGTGTGGTGCTGGAACTCAGGGCCTCTCTTGTGCTAAGTAATCATTCTACCACAGAGCTACATGCTTTGCTCCATTAGCTACATTTTTAAGGACAGATTTGCCAGCAACAAATTCTCTTTGCAATCCTTAATCTGACAATGTCTTTATCTCTTCTTCAATCTTGAAATATATATTCACCATACAGAATTTTTCACTGATGGTTCTTTTTTTTTTTTTTTCTGACCTCCATGGTTTTATATGAGAAATCTGCTGCCACTTGAATTGGTGTCCCCTATAATGCATCATTTCTTTTTAATCTACTTTTGGATAGAAACTCAAACTTTAGTTTGAGTTTAAATGAGTTTAATTATGACATGTCTTGGGGTGAATTTCTTAGGTTTGATCTTTTTGGAGTCCATTTATTGCTTGGTTCTGCAGTTGTATATATTTCAACAAATTTGGGATGTTTTAGGGCTTTATTTCCTTGAGTTCTTGTTCATCCTTAGTCCTTCTTTCCTCTCTGAGATTGATGCTACAAACACTAGTTCTCTTTTTTATTGGTGCATTATTCTTATCCATAACAGTGTGATTCATACATGCACATAACTCAATCAATCTCCTTACCCAGTGACTTCCCTTTCCCATCCCTCTTTCCTCCTCCAGATCTGCTTCCTATACTCTACTGATTTCTCTTCTATTATTTTAGGTAGTGTATATTTATATATGAATCCATTATAGTATGCTCATACACAGATATAGCATCATTTGGAAGTTTCATTCCCCAATACTCCTCCATCCTCCTTCTTTTTTAAAAAAAATAACTTTATTTTTATTTGTTTATCTTTATGTGGTGCTAAGGATCAAACCCAGAGCCTCACGCTCTATCACTGAGCTAATCCAGCCCCTCCTCCCTCCTTCTTGATCCTCTTCCTTTACTTTATTGATTTCTCTTCTATTTTCATGAGATTCCCGTTTTAAAATTCTCTCTCTCTATTTCTCTCTCTTTCTCTCCAGTTTCCACATATGAAACAAAATATTTGACTTTTGACTTTCTGAAGCTAGCTTATTTCACTTAGTTTGATGTTTTCTAGTTCCATCTATTTACCAGAAAATGACGAATTTCATTCCTCTTTATGGTTGAATAAAACTTCATTGTACATATACACTATATTTTCTTTGTCCACTTGTCTGTGGACAGGCATTGAAGCTGGTTCCATAACTTGACTATTGCATTACTATAAACCCTATATGCATGTATCATTATAGTGTGCTTATTTTAGTTCTTTTGGATAAATACCAAGGAGTGGGAGAGCTGGTGGAATGGCATAAAATCAAAAGGCTTCTGCAACACAAAGAAAACAACTAAGAGTGTGGAAAAGAGCCTAGAGAATAGGAGAAAGTTTTGTCAGCTACTCTTCTGACAGAGGATTGATATTCAGAATATATAAAGAACTCAAAAACTTTAACAACAAATAAACAAAAAACACAGAAAATCCAATCACTAATTGGTTAAAATATTTAAACAGACATTTCTGAAAAGAAGAAATTCAAATGGCCAACAAATATATGAAAAAAAAAAGTTTAACATCTTTACCAATCAGGGAAATGCAAATTGAAACTATACTGAGATTTTATCTCACTCCAGTCAGAATGATGATCATAAAGAATACAAATAATAATAAATGTTGGTGAGGATATGGGGGAAAAAGGTACACTTAAACATTGCTGGTGGGACTGCAAATTGGTACAATTGCTTTGGAAAGCAGTATGGAGATACCTCAGAAAACTGAGAATGGAACTACCAAATGCTAGTTCTTTTGCTATTGTTATACAGGTCCCTAAGATCCTGTTCATTTCTAAATTCTCTGTTATTTGGATTGGGTAAATTCTATTGATCTTCCCTCAAGTTCATGGATTCCATTCTGTTTTCTCCACTCTATTTCTGGGGTCATTCTGCAAACTTATTATTTCAGTTATTTTATTTTTCAATTCTATAATTTGTATTAGGCCCCCTTTTCAACTATCCTGTTTTTCTGTTGATATTTTTCTGTTGTTTCTATTTGTTTCAGATGCATATATTATTATCACCTGAGCACTTCTATCATGGGAACTTTAAAATTCTTGTCATATAATTCAAGATCTGATTTTTTCTCCATGTCAGTATCTGTTGGTTTTCTCATTTAAGTTGTAAATTTCCTGATTATTTGTAATGACAGGTGAGTTTTTAAAATTGCATCAGGCTCTTTGCATATTGCATTATGAGATTCTATTCAATCTTGGGTTAGTAGAATGTCCATCTTTCTACTGGGTCTCTCCAACAGCGCCCTGGCAAAAGCAGAGCAAAAACTCGCCCTGTCTGCATGTGGCCGACAATTCAGCCCACACTTGGCCCTGATGATACAGGTGAGTGGGAGGGAGGAGTCAGAATGCCAGTTACTGCCATCCCTACCACCCCATATGCCCTGTTAAGGCTGGGTGAGGAGAGAGGCTTCTGCTGAAGCCCGGAGGGGAAAGCAAATCACTTCATTCTATTGATGTCAAGTGAGATTGTGGTTCAGCTTCTCATGTGACCCCTTTGGAGCCTGGGAAGGATGAGAGGGAAGAGATGACAATGTCCACCAACTCGGATCACACTACCTTGTTTGGATTCTTATTGCTGCATTATATGGGGTGTCAGCTCCTTGGTGGGCCAACTACCACCAGGGAGGGGGAGAATATAAACTGTCAACTACCCCCTACTTATTCCTGGTTCAGTCTAAGATGTCAGGTGGAGGTTGGGACTCTGCTCCCCACTGGACTCTGCCTGACACCAGGGTGGGCAGTTGAAGCATAATGGTGACTAGTTCCACCTTATATCACCTGAATGGTGGATGTAGAAACTTGGTTCACCAGAAAGTCCTGCTGACACTCCATGATCAGAGAGGCTGAGCATTTCCTGCTGCCACCAGGAGCAAGAGGGGAGATTAGCTCCCTACTCAGACCCACCAACACCACTGGGTGGAGAAACAGGATTGCTACTGCCTGGTTCTGCTGACTTTGTTGGGTCAGGGATGAGACAGAAGATCAGCTCCCAGCTGAACCTGCTGAAATTGTTGGAAGGGTAGGATTGGGAAAGCAGTTAGGTTTTTTCTTCTATCTAACTGATGCCCAGTGGATAATGCCAACATGATTTTCTGGTAGGCCTCCATCTTCCTGGTCCTTCAGCTAGGGGGAGCAGGCTTTCTCTTGGAGTATATTTTGTTGGCATTTGTTAAAAATCCAGGAGATATGTACCCTGACTGGGATATATGGGAGGCAACAAGGAAACCCAAATCAATTATTATCTCTCCATTCCTCAGATTCTGAAGTGTCCTGGAACCTGCTGTCTCCCTTTCCCCTTTCAGTCTCCCTGATGGTTTGCTGTTTTACGTGCAGGTCTTCTTATGGTTGAGAGGGAAGATGTGAGGAATGGGGCTAGTCCATCTTGGTGGACCAGAAGTCCCCATTCTTCTTGTTTAAAAACACAAAGTTTTGATCACATTCCATGTACTATTTTATATCATTTTATGTACCATAAGTTTTTAATTTCTGTTACAAACAGTCCAATTTTAAAGGCTATAGAACTCCCCACTGAGTGGTCAGAACATGATTTATAAAATCACTTTGCTATTGTTGAAAATTTGGATTCTAGCATTATTGCTGTCATAAATAATGTACTGGTGAGAATGTACCTAAAGTCTTGCTGTATTTAGGATTATTACTTTAGGGTGGAGTCCCAGGAGTAAAATTATACCCGGCCCAATAGCAACATGCAAGGAGACCCCCTGTGCCCTCACCAACAATGGGGCTTCAATATGCTTTTGAGGATGAGTCAATATGATAGAGAAAAGAAAACAGTGTTGCAATTTTTCCTAAGATACATTTCTTTCATCACTAGTGAGGTTGTCCAGTCCCCTCCTTTTGCAATTTGATATCTTATGTCCTTTTCCTGTTCTTCTGTGAGGGCTTCCATATTCTTTTGGAAGAGCCTTCTTAGTAAAAAAATCTGACTTAATACATATGAGTAGTTCTCTGAAACCAAAAAATATAATTCAATATTGAAGATAAGCTGAGAGCAATGATCTAATCCACTGTTCAGCTACTGCAAACATCAAGTACCTAACAGGAAAACACCTGCCAATAAATAAAGACATCAGATGAAGATAAAACATGTGAAGCACTACAGATTGCTGGATAACTCTTGATCTTCAAAATTATGCTGTTTAAAATGAATAAACATTTCCTGAACCTTACCTGAAGCATGACAACATTGTCACCTTCGAAAGTTACAAACACATCTGCATCACACTTCAAGTCTGAGATTCGGTTTTCCATCATGTAGCCCTATTGCAAAAGAAATAAAGAAAATAAGAAACACATTTTAAATTTGCAATCCCATCATTATACAGGATTAACACTTTCTTTGATATTAAAAAACGCAGAAAATTAATTTTTCTATATTTTTATTGGTGCATTATAGTTTTACATAACAGTGGGATTCATTGTCACACATTTGCACACGCACACAATATAACAACATGATTTGACCAACATCATCCCCAGCATTTTCTCCCTCTCTCCCTCCCCTCTTGCCTCCCCCTTGTCCCCTTCCTCCACTCTACTGATCTCCTTTGGGGGGGAAAAAATGCAGAAAGTTGAAAGTAATAAAATAGCCATATTTTTAAAAATTTTTTAATTTTTTTTATTGGTTGTTCAAAACATTACAAAGCTCTTGACATATCATATTTCATATATTAGATTCAAGTGGGTTATGAACTCCCATTTTTACCCCAAATACAGATTGCAGAATCACATCAGTTACACATTCACATTTTTACATAATGCCATATTAGTAACTGTTGTATTCTGCTACCTTTCCATATTTTCTAATCATTATAACCACTGTAAGAATTTTGATCCATCACATTAGCTTTTGATTCACAAATACCATTTTGCATATTGTCTTCATCTATAGTAAAAAACATTTCAAAATTATCATATTATATTTTCCCAAAAAATCTCAATAAGATATATTGATATTACTCTCTCTTCCAAATATTATGAATTCTAATACATAGCAAGGTATCAGTGATTATACCCTACCATATACAGGCAAATAGCACCCCCCACATGCGACTTTATACAACTTTCTAAAAGTTGGCAAATAGACCTATAAAAATTCTTGGGAGGCAACTTAAGAATCTTAAATTGCCACTCTGCATGGTGACATCATTAAACTATTCTGCACCATAAATGTGCCCTGTGGCTAGTTGTTCTTTTTTAACTTCCCAAGATCCTGACTGCAATGGCAGCAGCCCACTGCTCATTTTCAAAGTGTTGAGTGTTTCCTCACATAAAGAACTGGCCACTCAAGAGAACACAGGGTCAGGCCCAGGTGAACAGTGAAGGAAGCCAAGCTTGCCTCTGGCCACCCCCTCCACATCCTCCCCACTCTCCTTTAGCTCAGTGTTCTCCCCACAAAATCTCCAGTCTTGCCTGATGTCCACATCTGCTTCCATAAAACACTGTCAGTCAGATCAGCAGTGACTGTCCCGTTACTTCTCCCAGGAGCATCTATCTGCAGGTAGCACAGTGGCTCTGAATAGAGAATGTCAAATTTCAGTCCTTTTAAAATTGTCCAGCCACAGAGGATACAGAAAGTCACAGAAGGGTGCTCACAGGGCAGTTCATATATCTGAACCTCCAGGGACCTACTGCCCAGGGGACCTGCTTTGTTGCTGAAAATGGGCACAGCAGTCATGGAAGCCTGGACTTCCGGAGTCCTGCTGCCCTCAGAGCCCTGAAAATCTGCGAGGATCAGCCCTGCTCCCTGCCAGGAAGAAACCCTCTAAGGCCTGGCCCACCTTCCTTTATGCCCCTCAGTATCACAACTGGACAGTGTTAAGCACCTGTAGTGACAGAGCAAAGGAGTCTTCAGAAGTCCACCAGAATTCTTAATTGCTTTCATGAGGTTAAGCTGATTCTATAAATAATCAGTAAGACTCCAACCTGGAGAAGCTCTACCTACCCCCCCCCACACCTTCCTTCCACAACCAAGGGCTCCTCTTCTCATCAGGAAACCACAAGAAATCAGGTTCCAACTGCACATACTCCTGCCTCCTGTGCCCACCCCAAGGCCAGAGTCCCCTCACATCCCACTGCAGGGTGGGGGACTCATTCACTTCACCTCCTCCTCTCCATCCTCAAAGCAGCCCTGTGAAAGGGATGTCACCCCCAGTTTACAGATGGAGAAAGTAAGGTTCAGAAGAGGTGCTGGAATGTTCTAGAATCATCTTTCTAGTTCCGATGTGGAAAAAAGAGGAACACTAAGTCCAACAGCTCAGTGCTGAGAAGTGGTAGTTACACTAAGAATCACAGCTGCTAACACTCCACATCATAATGTTGAAGAAACCATGCATGTTGCTCCTCTGTCGCCCATGCAGGAAAGGGCAGCAGGTTCTTCTGGTTATTATCTGTCACTGCCCAGGAAACCAGGTGACCAGGGTTTCAAAATGACTGGAGGAACACTCTAGTCAAAGGACGGCAGAACGAGCCCCCACCAGTAGGCTGTCAGAGGATGAGCCCTGGCAGCCTGGGGCACAGTTTGTCTCCTACCAGGTCTTCAATGCCACATAGTTTATTTTTTCCCCCACAGCAGAACTCCACAGTGAAACCCTTGACTAGTTCAAAGGTCAAGAAAGACTGGGGGAAGATTCTGGACTCTGTGGCTCTTGGGAGCTGAGGCAACAGGATGAAGACCCTCAGAGAGCTTTCAGGCAAATGGAAATGAAATAGCAGAGAAAACCAAACTCCCATATGTGTGAGGCAGCAGTGGCAGTGGGTGGCATGTGGCTTCAATCTCCCGAAATTGCCAAGGGTGGGTTTACCATCTAATTTCCTTAAAATAGGCCCAGAAAGCCAGGCATGGTGGTTCATGCCTTCATCCCAGCATCTCAGAGTGCTAAGGCAGGAGGATTGCAAGTTCAAAGCCAGCCTCAGCAACTTAGGGAGGCCCTCAGCATCTTGGTGAGAGCTAATAGAAATCAAAAATAAAAAGGACTAGGGAGGTGGCTCAGTCGTTAAGAATCCCTGGGTCCAATCCTGGGTATTCCCCTCTCCCCAAAAAAGAAGAGGCCCAGAAGGCCCAGCCTCACTAAAATCTAAATCCTGGGACACCTGCGGTGACTCCTTTAGAAACTAACCAGGCTCAGAAAGTCCAGGACTCTGTGGTTTGGGTGAGTGTGTGTATGAATTTAGAGGAAGCTCAAGACTGTGAGAAGCTCCTGAATGGGGACTTGTAGCCTTCTTCCCGAGGGACTTCAATTCTAATTCTGAGCCTCACATTCTTTCGGGACAAATGACTATAAAAAGTGTGTGTGTGTGTGTGTGTGTGTGTGTGTGTGTGTGTGTGAATCTGTCATTTGGGGGTAGGTACTAGGGATTAAACCCAGAGGCACTGAACCAAATCCCCAGCCCTTTTTATTTTTTGATTTGAGACAGGGTCTTGCTATATTGCTTAGGGCCTCACTAAGTTGCTGAGGCTGCCCTTGAACTTGTGATCCTCCTGCCTCAGCCTCCTGAATTGCTGGGATTATAGGTATGGGCCACCACGCCCGGCTGTCATTTTTTTTAATTAAACAAGAAGTTTTCTAAAAAATTATTATTTCTAAAATAACAATACATAAGCAGTGTCAAAAAAATCCCAGAAAACAAAAACAAAAGGAAAATAAAGATAATAAGTCAGCATCCAACCTCACAATGTAGAGGTAAATGATTGCCTAAGAAAGAATAACCCCAACAAAAGGGCTTAGGTTAGAAATTGGAAGCGCAAGATGGAGACAGGAGTTGGCAGGGTTGAGGAGGAAGAAGGGGATAGACCAGAAACAACTGAGCAGTTCTGAGTGGAAGGGAGCCATAGACTGTTCCAGGAGGAGGAGGGACATGACAAAGCACAGGAGATACAGTCAGAGGAGACCTCCACAAGAGTTTACAAACCAGCACCGCAGAACGAGCCCAGAGAAGGGACAGCCTGGCAGGCCATTGTGGATCAAAATATTAATGTATTTCCCATTTTCTTCTTGTAGCTTTATGGTTTTGGGTCTCATATTTAAGTGTTTAATCAATTATAACCAATTTTTACATGGTGAGAGATAAGGGTCTAATTTTATTGTTCTGAATGTGAATACTCAGCTTTCCCACTACCATTTATTGAGTAGATTGTGTTTTCTCAAATGTGTGTTTTTGGCACCTTTGTTGAAAATCAGTTGGCTGTAAGTATGTGGATTTACTTCTGGACTCTCTGTTCCAAGTCACTGGTCCATGTCTGTTTTTATGTCAGAATCCTGCTGTTTTGGTCATTATAGATTTGCAATGTCATTTCAAGTCCTGTACTGACATGTATCCAGCGTTACTTCTTTTGGCTAAGATTGCTCTGAGGTCTTTTGCAGTTCCATACAAATTTCAGATGGCTTTGTCTATTTCTGTGAAGAATGATGTTGGAATTCTGATACATATTGCATTTAATCTGTAGATCCCTTTGGGAAGTATGATCATTTTAACAATATTAATTCTTTCAACTCAAGAACACAAGATATCTTTCCATCTTTTGGAATCTTCCTCAATTGCTTTCATCAGTGCTTTACAGTTTTCATTATAGAAGCTTTTCATCTCTTCGGTTAAATTTATTTCTGGGTATTTTTTAAACTATTGTAAATGAAATTTTCTTTTTCAGATAGTTCACTTTTAACATATGGAAATGATACTGGTTTTGTATGCTGATTTTTGTCTCCTGTAACTCTACTGAATAGTTTTTTTTGTTTGTTTGTTTGTTTTTAGTGAAGTCTTAAGGATTTTCTACATGTAAGAACATGTCATCTACAAACAGGAACAATTTAACTTCCTTCTTCCCAATTTGCATGCCCTTTATTTCTTTGTCTTGCCAATTGCTCTGGCTAAGGCTTCTAGTCTATGCTGAATAGAAGTGGTAAAAATGGGCATCCTGGAAGATTTTAGAGGAAAACTTTTCCCATTCAGTGTAATGTTAACTGTGGGTTTGTCATATGGCCTTTGTTGTGTTGGTACATTCTTTCTGTACCTCATTTGTTGAGTTTTTGTTGTGAAGAGATGTTGAATTTTGGCAAATATTTTTCTGCAACTAGAGCAATGATTATATTTTTTATTATTTTAACAGAATTATAATGTGATGTGCCACATTGTTTGCCTATATTGAACTATTCCTGTGTCCCTGTCATGAATTACACTTGGTCATGGTGAATGATGTTTTAATGTGCTGTTAAATTTGGTTTAGTAGCATTTTGTTAAGGGTTTTTTCATCCTAATACATC